GTCGCTCAAAAACATTTAACTGTTCTTATTTCAGATTTATAGATGTTACTGTTATGATGATCAAACTTAGGAGCCGTAGATATTCTAAGTAGACTGACTCAAAGTTGCCCGTGAGCTATAGTTATAGCTCCCTTTATGCTAATTAACTATTACCTAAACCAATCCAATTACAGATACCTTACTAATATATAGACAAAACAGTATTTTACCAGGTCTCATCAACAAAATTAATATATGCTGAAACCTTTCAACTTGAAGGTAATTGCACTTTTCCCTTTCTAAAGATCATGTTACATAGAAACAATAACGAACTCAAATTTGAGGTTTACAGAAAAACTAGAATGGCCTGATCAACTTTTTATTCCCACAATATATATATATATATATATATATATATATATATATATATATGTGTGTGTGTGTGTGTGTGTGAGTGTGTGTGTGTGTGCGCGTGCGTGTGTGTGTGTGTGTATTATCTATCTATCTATCTCTCTATATATATATATATATATATATATCATATCTATCTATCTCTCTCTCTCTCTCTCTCTATCTATCTATCTATCTATCTCTCTCTCTATATATATATATAATTTATATATATATATATATATAAATTTATATATATATATATGTATATAATTTATTTATATATATATATATATATATAAATATATATATATATATATATATATATATATATATATATATATATATATATATATAAATATATATATATATATATATATATATATATATATATATATATATATATATATATATATATAATCTCTGTGTGTGAGCGCACACACACATAATCCTTGTTGGCTAGTAATGCTCACATTAAATCTTGAACATAATTCTCTTATTGGATTTTCTATTCAAAACATAGAAAGTACATACTGAAATTTGCGCAAAGTCTTGACTAAGCATTTAAAACTTCAGCGGTTGATGATATAATTTTGCTCTTAAATATTAAAACTATTACGGAGATTTTCATTTAGCATGACCCTGTGAACGATCTTTATGGTTTGTTTTAATTGGATAACACAATAATTACGTATTAATTACATATCTGAATCATAAACAGTCGGCCATTACGAAATCTTTTATTTGAGAAGAGGACAGAATGTAATTTTCCGCCTTTTAGTCATGACTTTGATGTTAATATTTTACGTAAATTTGCGAGTAAAACAAATAAATATGAAATAGCAAACTACTTGAATACATATTACATTCTCTGTGGCTCTTCAAACACTAAATGCTCTCTGGAAAAATCTGTCAACTATTTCAATAGAGAGAAAAGTTTTAAAGTGAATAAACTCTTTTAAGAATCTTTTTTTTTTTCATAAATATAATTATCTTATATATACAAGATTACTCAGTCTTTTGAGAACACGTTTTTAATACCTCTAACTTTTTTATAACTTGTTGTGATTACCATTTCTTTTCAGATGAAGGATGGCAAACATACTTACTCAGCAAATGAAGAGTCACCTTTAATCGTTGACTTCAAGGCAAATCACAGTGATTTAGAAAATGCTCGTTTTCTCGTTGCACGTTCGTTTGTTGCCAAAGTTCGCAAAGAGCTAGAAGTGGCTGACGGAAATTCTACAGCGTCGGCCAAACGCAAAAGACCTGCTAAGGACCCTAATAGCATCAGAACACACAACTTTGCACGAAAGGTACAGGAAATTCTCGGTAAGAACATCAGAAATTCATTCAAAGTCATCGCTAAGGAGCTCAATATTTCAAGGCAATCTATCGGAAGAAGTGTGCATGAGGACCTTCGATGCAAATCATATGTGATGCAGAAAGGCCGATTCATGTTTGCAAAGACAGATAATAACTGCCAGATCCGCGTAAAGTGCTTATTGAGCTGAAATAACAAGAACCAGGAATGTTTTGGTCTTTTTTTTTTTTTGTTTTTCTCTTTCATTGGAACCAAAAGTTAACCGAATGAATGAGAGACGATTATGCAAAAACGCGAAGGACGTTATGACGGCTAATCACGTAAGGTTTCCTGCAATTTTGATGGTTCAGAATGTCGTGAGCAACGAGGGAGATAACATGCCTCCACAAATCTTTCCTCGGCGTCAATGCTATTGACTATAAGGAGGAGAGGTTTCTGAAGCCTAGGACGCAAGTATAGTAAGATCAGATAGGAGTGATAGAAGAAAGGATGAGGGTAGTGGATAGATCAAGGCAACTGGAGATGTCGATTGACATTACACTTGAATAGCTGGAGATTATAGCTCACAGGGAAACAGGAATAGGGAAGGGAGTTCCACAGACGAGAGGTGCGAGACATGAAGCTATTAGAGTAGAAGAGACGGCTACATTTAGGAGTTTCGACAATGAAGGGGTGAGAGCGGGATGCCAGCCTCGTAAGGAGCTGGAACTCATGACGTCTGGGAACCAGCGAATGCAGCTCCTCGGAGCAATTTCCATGAAAGTATTTGTAGAACAGACAGAGGGAGGCGACCAACAAGATTCCACGCTGTTTGATAAGGACCAGACAACCCAAAAATGGATGAGTTAAAATCTCTATGATCATGTCACCCCCAAGAATAAGCAGCCCCAGCCCGACTTGAATCCGTTGAACTAATACGTATGGAGCGTAGTCGAGAGGAAAGTCAATCTATGACACAAATCACTATAAAATCAATGTCCAAAATAGATAAAAATCATTTGATTGAACGTCGCAGACCCCGTATCGAAGCAGTCACCGAAGCTAACGACGGATTCCTTAAGTAAATATATCAAGAAGAATCTCACGATAATTGATGCCATTTTTTCTCTTTTTTTATGACTTATGCGTCGATTAGGAAATTCATGCAAAGAATTGAGCAAACCCTTATATACATACATATATATATATATATGGGGTGTATGTGTGTATGTATGTACACACACATATTTGTGTGCGCACACACACACATATATAAATACATTTTATACTTTTTACATTTTGTGTTACAGTGTTTTCAATACTTGATATATAAGACAATGGAAAAAGTTTATTTGTGATGAGTTTCATTCGTTAGGGCTTCATTGGATTGGCTTGGTTGACGATGAGAGAGAGTGAGAAACAGTTTGGACATAGGAATTAACACTGCATTCTGCAATGTGACTCTTAGTTTCATGCCTGAATGGGAACTTGGTTTAAAGATCCCTTTGCAGCATGAAAACGATAGTAACCATACCGTGTTGATTCCTCTGTCCACTATAGCCGTTATAGTGAGCATCTTCATTTGTTTATACTGCAAATCTTAAAGAATATCTATCTATCTATCTATCTATCTATCTATCTATCTATCTATCTATCTATCTATCTATGTATGTATGTATCTATCTATCTATCTATCTATCTATCTATCTATCTATCTCAGTCTGCATCTCTATTATCTATCTATCTATCTATCTATCTATCTATATATATATATATATATATATATATATATATATATATGTGCATATACCGAGTGTAACAACAAAATTGTCCAAAACGCGTAACTGCATGGGATAATTGTTATTCACACAAAATGTTTAATATCTAAAAAAAAAAACACTAAACTAATTGAGTTTTGTTTTCCAGGTTTTCAGATAAGACGTTTAGCTCACTTGACACCATTTGTCGTAAGAATCACTGAAAAACTCTTTGGGTTATTCAACTAAAAGGAGAATAGGTTAAAACTGTTTTGTGTCAGCCCCAGTATGTCTCCCCAAGTGAGCAATGGTGAGAGGAAATGCATCATTCAGTCTTTCAGTAATGGTATGCATACTCCATCTTGAAAGCCCATTCAAGAACCATCAAGAAAAGAAGGGAACAGCAGAGAGGAAAACTGGACCAGGAGGTGACGACAGCAAGAGGAATCATCTTTTCAGCATAGAACTATATACATTGCTATTGTTCAAAGTAGAATCCAATAGTGCTATAGAAACCGCGGGTAATTCCAGCAAGATATATTTAATTATTTCTAGGATAAAACGGAAAGAAAAAATACGCAGATATTATTGCCATTCCGTGACTTTCATATGGACAGCTAATTATGCGGCTGGCTCAAATTCTCAGGCGGTAAAAGAGGCAACATACTCAATTCTGTATTTGAATATAGAATTCTATTATAGAAGTTGGTCCCTTGGTTCGCCTGAAGATTGTGAGGCATTTCTATAACTACCTCGGTGTCAACATGAAACGTTATATTGCGGAAAGGCAATAATATCTGTTGATTGTTTTTCTTATATCATATAAACACACACACATATATACAAACACGCACACACATATATATGTGTGCATGTTTATGTATGCGTTAAGGATTTAAATAGTTATTTATGGATTTAAACAGTTACAATACAAACATTTGAATTTGATCAAATATATGGTAACAACTTATTTTTTATTTTTGCATTTTTCGAATAAATTGTTTTCCAACCAAATCAAAACTGTGAATGCAATGCCAAAAATGGTTGTTTTCTTCTGTCTCAGTCATTATCAAGAACTGAATGTTGTCAGTATGGTAGACAATTTTGGATATAATACATAAAATATTCAAAGAATCAGCTTCCTAGACAATCAATAATTAAACCAAAAGCACTTTAGCATTGTTTTTTCCACGATAATTTTCAACGGGTTAATACAAATACATATCTTGCTTTTTGTAATTGTCACAGTCACTGGTCATTAATATGCTGTTTCTTTTTCCTTCTTGATATTTTATAAGTTTATTGGCAATTTTACAAAAAGCAATGCCAAGATGTATTTTTATATAACGGCTGGGGTATTAAATGAATGAAAGACTAATGAACCTTGAAGTAGAGCCAAAAAGTCGCTGTTGAACTTCACAGATTTTATCAGAACACACGCACACTCACACGACAGACATATATATATATATATATATATATATATATATATATATATATATATGTGTGTGTGTGTGTGTGTGTGTGTGTGTGTGTGTGTGTGTGTGTGTGTTTTGTATCAATATTTTCCATTAGTAGACAGAATTAATAAGATAGATATACAGATAGATATGAAAGGAATGAGATGAACAGGATGAAATAGATAGATAGATAGATAGATAGATAGATAGATAGATAGATAGATAGATAGATAGATATGAGCAGGATGAAATAAATATGAACAGAATGAAAAGGATAGATAGATAGATAGATAGATAGATAGATAGATAGATAGATAGATAGATAGATATGAGCAGGATGAAATAAATATGAACAGAATGAAAAAAGGATAGATAGATAGATAGATAGATAGATAGATAGATAGATAGATAGATATGAACAGGATGAAATAGATATGAAGAGAATGAAAAGGATAGATAGATAGATAGACAGATATGAACAGGATGAAATAGATAGATAGATAGATAGATAGATAGATAGATAGATAGATAGATAGATATGAGCAGGATGAAATAAATATGAACAGAATGAAAAGGATAGATAGATAGATAGATAGATAGATAGATAGATAGATAGATAGATAGATAGATATGAACAGGATGAAATAGATATGAAGAGAATGAAAAAGATAGATAGATAGATAGATATGAACAGGATGAAATAGATATGAAGAGAATGAAAAGGATAGATAGATAGATAGACAGATATGAACAGGATGAAATAGATAGATAGATAGATAGATAGATAGATAGATAGATAGATAGATAGATAGATAGATAGATAGATATGAACAGGATGCAATAGATATGAAGAGAATGAAAAGGATAGATAGATAGATAGACAGATATGAACAGGATGAAATAGATAGATAGATAGATAGATAGATAGATAGATAGATAGATAGATAGATAGATATGAGCAGGATTAAATAAATATGAACAGAATGAAAAGGATAGATAGATAGATAGATAGATAGATAGATAGATAGATAGATAGATAGATAGATATGAACAGGATGAAATAGATATGAAGAGAATGAAAAAGATAGATAGATAGACAGATATGAACAGGATGAAATAGATATAGAAGAGAATGAAAAGGATAGATAGATAGATAGATAGGATGAAATAAATATGAACAGGATGAAATAGATAGATAGATAGATAGATAGATAGATAGATAGATAGATAATAGATAGATAGATATGAACAGGATGAAATAGATATGAAGAGAATGAAAAAGATAGATAGATAGATAGATAGAATAGGATAGATAGATAGATAGATAGATAGATAGATAGCAATAGACAGATATGAACAGGATGCAATAGATAGATATGATGAAGAGATAATGAAAAGGAACAGGAGATAGATATGAAGAGAAGATAGATAGATAGATAGATAGATAGATAGATAGATAGATATGAATAGATATGAACAGGATGCAATAGATATGAAGAGAATGAAAAGGATAGATAGATAGATAGATAGATAGATAGATAGATAGATAGATAGATGAATTGAATTGAAATGAACAGACGCCCTGCCCTTTTTTCCTGTCCTTATTTCAGATAAATAATTGAACATTCTGCATTGATTGCTAAAAAAACAACCCTTTTTTAATTCAGTAAGAAAAAGAACGCGTACATAAAAAGAAAGAAAGAAAGAATGAAAGAACGTTATGATAGCGGAAGCGATAACATTTGTTAATTTTGAATCTTTTCATTTATACTCTTTTGCTTCATTGAATAATGATCTTCATCTGTACTTATGATTGTTACTACAATATTTTCTTAAAGCTGTTCAGCTCAAATATTTAACGATGCAATTAAAAAGTAACGCTTTTTGAAACTAACTTGCGTGGATCCTATGTAAAATTTAATGTTCTTATTACCATTGTTTCTATTTACAAGTATTATATATATATATATATATATATATATATATATATATATATATATATATATATATATATATATATATATATATATATAAATGCGCTCTACATTTGTACATGCCTGGCGAACAAATAATGCATTTATAATTATCGAATGTATGCCCTTCCCTGTATTAGTAATGCACGGTCATCATTAAAACGATGAGACCCGAAATGCGATTTGCAGGTCGAGAACACTAGGTTAAAACAGATGCAGAAGTTTAAATATCTGGGAAGCGTCTTGAAAATGGATTGTAAGTGCGACACAGAGATACGTAGACGTTATTGGGATGGCCAAGGACACATTCCAAAAGTATTGCGAGACGGGAGGATTTCTTTGGTAACAAAGAAAAGAATACTGAGCTGTTACGTGACATCTGTCTTCCTTTACGGCAGCGAATGTTGGACGATTTCTTCAAAGATGAAGAAGAGACTCGAGGCAACGTAGATATGATTCTGCAGAGAGATGCTAAGGATATCATGGACCGAGCGTTTGAGCAACGATGAAGTCTTAGAGATGATTCAAACAAGGAGGAGGCTTATACTTAACATTAGGAAGAGGCAGCTGAAGTTCCTGGGATGCATAGTGAGGAAGGAGGCCCTGATATTTACGGGTCGAATAGAGGGAAAGAGAGACAAGGGAAAACAGCGTATGACATAACTGGCGACCTTAAGCAAATGCAAGACAGAACGTGGCTTGGTAGCTGAGGGAAGGAACTTGTTGAGAGCTGCAAGGGATAGAGCCGGATGGAGAGCCATGATCGTCTGCGTCATGAAATGACACAGCACATAGAAAGAAAGAAAGAATGAACCGGTTTCAGTTAGCCTCCATTGCGACAATAAAAAAAAAAACCTTCGTATTTACGCATTCTCGTTTAACTCTGGCGTTGACCTATTCCTAATGATCTTATAAACAACACTTGAATCAAGCTTGAATAACTATTTAGCCCCAGTCACTCTTCACTCTGCACTTAGTGTCCGGTTTGATTATTTCTTATCAACGCATTTCTCAGTGTCAGCATTGATCAAATGTTGTCGATTAAGTTCATTTACTGTTACACTGTTATAGCCGTCATCCACTAAACTTAACCCAAAGGTCAGTTTCTGGGCTCCACCCTCCTAGACGCAAACGTTTAACACTAAACAAGCGTCGATAAAACAATTCACAAGAAACAATTGTACTTCTCTTGAGTTGTTGAAAACTTTCAAAACCCAAAAAGATGTTTTTTTTTTCATATCGCTCACATTTTGTAAAACTATATTTGTCATTTATCACTTCTAGTTTCTCTCTCTCATTATATGTATGTATGCATATATATATATATATATATATATATATATATATATAAACTAGAATTGGTAAATGATAAATATATATATTTCCATTTATCAATTCTATTTTTTCTCTTTTAATATATATTTATATATATATATATAAGAAGAGAGAGGTAAGCTAGAATTGATAAATAACAAATAGTTTACAAAATGTAAACGATGTATATATATATAAATATATATATATATATATATATATATATATATATATATATGATAAATGACAAATATATATATATATATGTCATTTATCAGTTTTATTTTCTCTTTTTAATATATATAGATATACAAAGTGTATGTATATTACAAATTGTAATCGATATATATATATATAATTCTTTCTCGCATCATTATATATGCATGTATATATATATATATATATATATTTGTCATTTATCAATTCTAGTTTATTTCTCTACTTTCATATATATATATATATATATATATATATATATATATATATATATATGTATGTCATTTATCAATTTTTTTTTTTTATATATATATATATATATATATGAGATAAACTAGAATTGATAAATGTCATACTTTTACAAAATGTAAACAATATGTATATATATATATATATATATATATATATATATATATATATATATATATATATATATATATGCCTGTGTGTGTGTGTATATATATATATATATATATATATATATATATAATTTTTCTCTTCTTTTTTATCTCTGTTTCTTTGTATTTTTCTTGCGTTCTTTTCTTTATGTTTCCAGTTTTATGTGCTCACTTTTTACTCACAAATGAAATGTCTTCCTTTTCGCTTTGTTAAATGCCCCAACATTTATTTTTTTTTGTGTCTTTTTGTCTTTTCTTTTTTGTTTTTCTTTTTTCTCCTCTCTAAGTTTCTCTCTCTCTCTCTCTCTCTCCCCTCTCCCCCCTCTCCCTCCTCCTCTCCCTCTCTCTCTCTCCTCTCTCTCTCTCTCTCTCTCTCTCTCTCATTTTGTGGCTCTCATTAATTTTTCATGTTTTGTCTGGGCTTATCTATGATTCATTCGGTCATTCTTTTTGACTTTCCCTTATTTTTCAGTTTTTTTTTTTTTCCTTTTTTGCTTTTCGTTTTGATTATCCTCCTTCTCCTTCTGTAAATTTACATCTTTATTTTCCATTAAATCTTTTTTTCTATTTCTCTTCCCCTCTCTCTCTCTCTCTCTCTCTATCTATCTATCTATCTATCTATCTCTTTCTGACTCTCCCTATTTTAATATCTGACTTTTTTTCTTTCTTTCTCTTTTCTCATTAGCAAATCATACCCAGTTCTTCTTGGATTCCCTTTCTCTCCTCATCCCTACCATCTCCAGGTCACGTGTCAGTCATAGCTCCCTCATTTTTTATAAATTTGTTTTCTTCATTCCTCTTTTTAGAGACACACACCCATACACACATAAACACACACAGATATATGTATTGGCAGCAAAAATTCCTTTAAATATATTTTAAATTCAACAACAGGGTCTGTCTAACTTTTATTGTACATTTCCATTTCTCGTAGAAGATCAAGAACTGGATTTTGTCAGCGTTATAAACAAGATTTGTTTGATATTTTTTGGAACGCTACAATTCATATTTAATTGAATTTGAATTGTAGCGTTCCAAAAAAAAGAGGAATGTAACCTACAAAATTTTCTTTACTTCACTGACACCAACCGGTTCTGACACACAGTTCTTTATGTTCTTTACCTCACTGACACCAACCGGTTCTGACACACAGTTCTTTATAATAAAGACAGAAGAAAATGCATGAACAAAACTAGGAAAAAAACATAAACTTCGGAATTTTTATCCACAATCTTATTTCAGATGTATATATTGGAAAATAATAAGAAAAAACAGTTAAATATTAAGCAGCGAAACTTAGTAATTTACACATAAAAACAAGTTATATATAAAACTATTTGCTGGCCGAGAACACTAGAATTAAGCAGACGCGGAAGTTTAAATATTTGGGAAGCGTCTTGACAGAGGAGGATAAGTGCGACACTGAAATCCGAGGACGTATTGGGATGGCCAAGGACACATTCCAAAAGCTGGGGAGAGTATTGCGAGACGGGAGGATTTCTTTGGTAACAAAGAAAAGAATACTGAGCTGTTATGTGACATCTGTCTTCCTTTACGGCAGCGAATGTTGGACGATTTCCTCAAAGATGAAGAAGAGACTCGAGTCGACAGAGATGTGGTTCTACAGAAGGATGCTGAGGATATCATGGACCGAGCATTTGAGAAACGATGAGGTCTTAGGGAGGTTGCAAACAAAGAGAAGGCTTACACTCAACATTTGATATTCACGGGTCGAATAGAGAGGAAAGAAAGAAGCGCGTGACATACATGGCAAGCTTGAGTAGGCGGCTGACAGAACGTGGTCTGGGCGAGGAGCCAGAGGGGAGGAATTTGCTGAGAGCTGCAAGGGATAGAAGGAGGTGGAGAGCCATGATCACCTACGTCGTGAAAAGATATGGCACATAAAAAGAAAAGAAAGTATTAAGAAACTGAAAAAATTTGGTTACTAACAAAGATAAAAGTACTGTACGGTTACATAATATAAGTTCTTCCTATAGGAGGTAGTAAATGCTGTACAATCTTCTTAAAGATGAAGATGAGACTTGAAGCAACAAAAATGAGGTTCTATAGAAGGATGCTGAGAATACCATAGACCGAACATTTGAGCAATGACGAGGAAACAAAAAATAGAAAAAAACTGACATTATACGTAACGTCAAAGCAAGTGTTGAAATTTTTAGGGGCCATAACGAGGAAAGAGGGCTTTGCAAATTGATAATCACAAAGATTGAAGACAGAGGAAAACAACGCATAACTTGCGTTGCGTGCTGAGTAAATGGCTGGCGGAATAAGTATTAGGAGAGAAAACAAAAAGACAAAAAGTTTATTACAACCTCCATAAGACAGAAAATCGTGGAGAGCTATGATCAGCAACGTATTGAAGAGAGACGGCGCATAGAAGAAGAATATATATCTATCAACCAATTTAATTAGTAACAATGTAGTTATACCTTCCAATCACTCTTTTAGTTTTCTGTCTGTCTCTCTCTCTCTCTCTCTCTCTCTATATATATATATATATATATATATATGTGTGTGTGTGTGTGTGTGTGTCTCTTATCTCTGTTTGTACATAATCTTACAATATTAATTTGTTGTGTCCAGTTATCAATAATCGTCTCTCAACATTTCTTTGTCATTTCGTGAATTTATCTGTTTCCTGTCTATTTCTTAATCTTTTCTCTTCTTAACACATAACTTCTTTGTTCGAATCTATATCTGACCT